CTGCAGTCGAAGATAAGAGTGAGGATGCGGCGAGGACGTCGGCAGTCTGCGAATCTCTGAAGATGCCCGCCGCAGGCGCCTAATTATTACAAATTATACAACGAGCTCGCTGCAGGAGCCGATCTTTCGTTAAAGCAATGTGGGTGGGTCTCGAGGTGGGTCGCGGCTGGGTCGCGGCTGGGTGATAGGCCGAGTCGCTAGTGGATCGTGGGTAGATGCGGTTGGGTCGTGGATGGGTCGCGCGTGGGTCGTGGGCGGATCGCGGGGTGGGTCGCGGGTGGGTCGCGGGTGGGTCGCGGGGTGGGTCGCGGGTGGGTCGCGGGTGGGTCGCGGGCGCGTTGCGGGGTAGGTCGCGGGTGGGTCGCGGGCGGGTCGCGGGCGCCAAACAAACATCAAGCAAACACACAAACACACAAACACACACAACCATGACAACAACAACAATCATTTTACGATTGTTCGTTCTTATTTGCTCGAATGTCCCTTAACGCGTATTTCCCAAACCCTCGATATCCGCCCTCTTCGTCTTCGATCGTTCCCCTTTTTTGGGGGTAGACCCTTCTTCCCTGCAAGCCGGGCCCCGGCAAACGGCGGGGCGGCCGCGGACCGTCGGTCTGGCCAGCGGCAGCGCTAATCGGCGGCAGCCTGACCCCAAAAGGGACGGACAGGGGACCGACCCCGACGACGACGACGACGACGACGACGGCCTCGACGACGACGGCGGCGACGACGACGATGAGCGAAAGCGAAAGAGAGATAGAGAACGACAGCGGGGCCACGAAGGGCACGAAGTAGGACGAAAAAGACAGCGGGGACACGAAGGGAATGCGTATGTGGCCACGAAGAGCGCGAACGAGCGGGGGCCACGAAAGGCAGATAATGCGGGGCCACAGAGAGCAACGACGGGGCCACTGAGGGTAGCAACTGGGCCACGGAGGGCAGCGAGGGGGCCGGGAAGGGCGACAGCGGGGCCACGAAGGGCATGCACATGGGGCCACGACGGGCGCGAACGAGCGGGGGCCACGAAAGGCAGATAATACGGGGCCACAGAGCAACGACGGGGCCACTGAGGGTAGCAACTGGGCCACGGAGGGCAGCGAGGGGGCCGGGAAGGGCGACAGCGGGGCCACGAAGGGCATGCACATGGGGCCACGACGGGCGCGAACGAGCGGGGGCCACGAAGGGCATGCGTATATTGGGCCGCGAAGGGCAATGACGGGGTCACTGAAGGCAGCAACGGGGCCACGAAGGGCAGCGAGGGGGCCTGGAAGGGCGACAGCGGGGCCACGAAGGGCATGCACATGGGGCCACGACGGGCGCGAACGAGCGGGGGCCACGCAGTGCATACATATATGGGGCCACGAAGGGCAGCGAGGGGGCCACGAAGGGCTGCAAGGGAACCATGAAGGGCAACGAGGCGGCCACGAAAGGCAGCGAGGGGGCCGCGAAGGGATGCAACGGGGCCACGAAGGGCAGCGAGGGGGCCGCGAAGGGTTGCAACGTGGCCACGGAGGACACCGAGGGGGCCACGAAAGGGTGCAACGGGGCCACGAAGGGCAGCGAGGGGGCCACACATGGTTGCAACGGGGCCACGAAGGGCAGCGAGGGGGCCACAGGGCTGCAACGGGGTCACGAAGGGCAGCGAGGGGGCCACAAATGGTTGCAACGGGTCCACGAAGGGCAACGAGGGGGCCACGAAGGTCTGCAACGGGTCCACGAAGGGTAGCGATGGGGCCACGAAGGGTTGCAACGGGGACACGAAGGGCAACGAGAGCCTGATTCCGAAGTAGTCTGTGAGGGTGTCCGAAGCGTGAACGCGACTCCTGGGTGCCTGAGTGTCGGGTGCGCGGCGCTTGAGTAAGTTGTGGGAAGTTCCAACGCAAGGGCGCTATTCTTGAGTAACTTGCAAGAGGGTCTCCAGCGAGAGCGCGGCTCCAGAGCGCCGAGAGAGCGATTCCTGCATACATGGGAAGGAAGTCCCAAGCGAGAGCGCGATTCCTGAATAAAATACGAGGAAGTCTTAGGTGGGAGCAGGGGTCCTGGCTACATTGTGAGGCAGTCTCAGGCGGGAGCAGTTGTTGTTGTAACCCAGGAGGGGTCAAGTTGGAGGAGGAAAACTCTCCCTCATAAGAACACAGGGTGCGAGCTCTGGGAAGGGGCACTTCAATTGAAGCATACAATGTGCACCGGAAGGGGGGGTCAACAACAATTATTCTTCAGTAGTGTGAGTTCAACAACAACAACAACTAGAGTACCACCAACACTAACAGCAACCATAATCCTCCTCGCAAAATCCCGCACGCATCCAGGGACAGTGAACGACCGTTCGGCCCCTTCACTCCGATATCTATATCTATTTCTATATCTCTATATATACATATATATATATATATACACGGGGGGTGGGATCGCAGCGAGGCGGAGACCACCCCACACATGGAAATCGCTTTCGGATTCACGTTCGTGTCGCGCGTGCGGGTGAGGCGATGCTGCGTGGGCAGGCGAAAGGAATGACACCGCCGTTGCCTGGGCGAAGCCGAACCAAACGTTGCTGTCCCTGGGGTTGGCCAGCAGTGGCCCTGTGGTGTCCCGATGGTTTCCCGATGGTGTCCCGATTGTGTCCCGATTGTGTCCCGATAGTGTCCCGTGATGTCCCGTGATGTCCCGCGGTGTCCCGTGGCGCGGGGGTGCCCCGTGCTATGCTATATGCTATGCTATGTGATGCTAGCGATCGAGATATCGATAGTGATATCCATTCAGTGAGGTCGAAATGATACGTATCGTGCGATCGAAAGTGGCACCGAAGTGAGATTGTCAGTGAGGTTGGTTGAGTGGCATCGATAGCGCGATCGATCGCGTGATCGATAGTGGGATATATAGTCGCATTGATAATGATACCACTTGACGGGGATCGATCGTGAAGTCGATCGTGAGATCGACCGCGTGTTCGATAGTGAGATGGATTGATCTAGATCGATCGATCCATCTTGATATCGACACTGATTTCGATAGGGTGATCAATGTTGAGATCGGTAGTGACATCGAGTGAGTGTGATCGATAATGATATGCATGGTGGCATCGATGATGACATCGATACTTACGCAGCCGAAAAAGGTTCCTCTTGAGCCCCAAATGTCGGAAGCGACGTGCTGTTCAGGTGAGCGGATACATGTAGCGATCTTTTCGTTTAGGTGTTTCCTCCGTTTTTCTGCCCCGCGGATCAAATTTCCCTTGGGTCCAGGGTGTTCACTGTTATTCTATGTTCATTTCCGGGAAATAAATGAATCCATTGTTTTCACAAACGTTGGAAATTGGATCTGCGCAAGACAGAAATATAATTCACGACATTGTGGCAAACCCGAAAATAATCCAATTGGATCCGTCGGTGTTCCCATATTTGTTGTTCAAGGGAGAACAATTTCTGCCTTGGGGATTTAGTTATACATGATACCGGCGAGAAGCCCCAATCATAATCTTTTGTGGGGGCTATCGGGCTATAGGGCTATGGGGCTATAGGGCTATAAGGCTAGAGGGTTAGAGGGCTATAGGGCTATTGGGCTGTTGGGCTATAGGGCTATTGGGCTATACGGCTATAGAGCTATAGGGCTAGAGGGCTAATTATAGGGATATAGGGCTATAGAACTAGAGAGCTAGAGAGCTAGAGGGCTAGAGGGCTAGAGTGCTAGAGGGCTAGAGGGCTAGAGGGCTAGAGGTCTGGAGGGCTAGAGGGCTAGAGGGCTATAGGGCTGTAGGATCATTGGGCTAATGGGCTATAGGGCTATGGGCTATAGGGCTATAGGGCTATGGAGCACCCGGGCACCCGGGCGGGCCGCCGAACTCGGCAACGCAGCTCCTGGGCACCCGGGCACCCGGGCACCTGGGCGGGCCGCCAATATCGGTGACGCAGCTAACAAGCTTTCATTGGGGAAGATAGAGCGACCGTGAGTTCGATCGTGCGAACGTTCGTGAAACCGATCGTGAGATCGATGGTATGATCGATAGTGATATCAAGAGTATGATCGACAGTGACATCGACAGTGAAATCGAGAGTGAGATCGATAGTGAGATCGGTATGGGTATCGATTGAGTGGGATGATTGGTGAAATCGACCGTGGAAGCGATAGTGAGATCGACCCTGAACCCGGAACTCCGCTGGAACCAGAAATTGGAATCCCGGGAAACCTGCCACTAATTAAAATCAGCCCAGAACCATCAACCGGGAACCGGGGAACCCGGAACCGGGAACCCGGGAACCCGGCCGCCCAACGACATCGGCCCCGAAGTTTCGCCACTTGTTTCAATCTCCGCCAGGACCCCTGTCAGTGCAAGCGTTGATTTGAGAGAAACGACTCAGTATAAAAAGCCGGTCCTGGGGAATGGGTCGAGATTTCAGGACGTCGACGTCATGAAGTTTAGACATGCGACGTCCTGATTTTTTCGATGCGGGGCCCCTGGAAGTCCCGACCCTTTACCCGGGACCGGCTTTTCGTCCTGAGTCGTTTTTTCACGGCCCCCAAGGCCCGGCGAGGGCCCCCCGAAGCCGAAAGTGGCCCAAAACTTCCCGTCCTGATTTTTGTTGCGACGCGAGTCGCGCCTGGGAGCGAATCGTGACGTTGGGGACCCTTGGCAGGCGGTGGATGTCCGGGCCCTATGGGTGGCCAGGTGAAATCCACAGCCGCCGCCCGCCGAGGTCCCCCGAGATCGATCCCCCTTCGGGGGCCACGCGCGGGGGCGAGTGGAGCCCAGCGGCGGCGCAGCGCGCATGCATGTCCGGGGCCGCGCGCCGAGGGTCCCCGTCTGCGGCGAGGCTCCCCGGCGGCTGCGTGCATGTTGCCCGCCCCTCGGCCAGTCGCCCCCCCACGCCGCCCCCGAGGTTGGGGGGGAGCCCCCCCGCCTCGCAGCGGAAGAGACACGTGGGGCGGGTGGCGGCGCGCGGCGGTCCGCTTCCGAACCAAGGAGAAGAGCGGCGAGGGCGACGGCGACGCGCCGAAGGAGGCGAGCGGCACGGCCCCGCCCCCCGCGGGCAACCCCTTCGCCAAGCCCGGGCCCGGGCCTCGACGCCCCGCTGCCTGCAGCTGCGCGCCCGGGTTGGCCCTTCGCCGGGAGTGACCCCGGGTGCGGGCCCGCACCCAGACATGACCGCGTCGTAAACACATGAGGACCATTTTCGGGCCCAGGGGTCCCTCGCCAGGCCTAGAGGAACGTCAAAAAAACGACGCAGAATGAAGAGCAGGTCCCGGGGAAAGGGTCGGGACTTCCAGGGACCCCGTCCGTATGTAAAACATCAGAACCTCGCATGTTTGGGGGTGTTGCCCGCCAGCAGCGGCTGGCGCGCTTGGACTGCTTGGATCGGAGCTCGTGTAACGGGTCAGCGCCAACGCGGGTCCGCCAAGCCCCTCGGCCTGACCTTGGCTTTTGGGAACCGCGTGGGGCCGATTCCCACTTTCCACACTCCGCTGGCAGATCTGGAAGCTGATGAGCGGCCAGCCGGGCTTCGCGACAGGGCCATGGCCGACCCGGGCTTGTGCTGACCCGGGCTATGTGCGACTCCGATTTTGGATCCCGCCTCCCCCGCGGACCCCTCAGAGCCTCGCTCCTGCGCGCAGCCGGGGTGCCCTGGGGGCGTGGGGTTCGGGGAGAATGCTGCAGCGCTGGCGCGGGGCAGGGGACGCGCTCCTCTCCAGGGTCGTTGCCCCTGGGTGTTGCCTGGCGGAACCCCTCGGCTCACGCTCTCCGCACTGCGCTCCGTGGGTGGCGCATTGCCCAGGCCATTGCGCGGCACGGGCCAGCCTCGAAGCCTCGAGAGGGGCAGCATTGGGAGGCTCCTGCCGCTGGGCCGCAAGGCAGACATGATCGCGTCGTAAAAACATAGAAGGACTGGAGGTTTTTGGCCAATGTCGGCCTCGGGGGGCACTCGCCTGGTCTGGTGAGCGTCAAAAAACGAGTCACGGGGAAAGGGTCGGGACTTCGGGGGACCCCGCATTGAAAAAATCAGGACGTCGCATTTCTGGGAATGTTAGTTCAGCCAGGCAGGTCGAGCCTCCCTTCGAAGCGCGAGCGGCTCCCTCTTTTGGGGCGGGCTCGCGCAAAGGGGAGGGAGGGGGGGACGCCGAGCGCAAGTGCCAGGGCTCGGGCCCCCAGCGGGTGGTCTTGACCGTGGGCACGCTCGAGAGTGCTCTGGCCGAGACCCAGAAACCCATCCTGCGGGGATCACTTCTCGACGTGGGCCCCTGGAGGTCTCGATCCCTCGCGCGGGACTGGCCCACGGGGCCCACGGTGCATCCTCGGTCGTAGCTGGATTGCCCCGGGGACCTGGCAAGGGCCCCCGCAGAGCCTGGAAGTTTGCCAGAATCTCCCGTCAGACAGTGGAGGCCCATGCCAAGAAACACCCTGCTTGCCTCCAGGGTGCTCCTGGGTTTCTTGGATTTCGATGGTTTTGCGATGGAAAGCGTGACGTGCCCACACCAAAAATCAGTTGACGTGATGGGGTCTCAGGGTTGGGTTTCTTGTGGAAGAGCGATATATACCGCTGTATACAGTATGCTCAGCGTCGAAGCGCTGCTAGGGTCAAATCGGCTACGGTGAAGCCCTGGTGCACGACAATGGGGCTCATGTTAGCCAGCGTGGGCCCCAAACAATGGCATTATGCCAGTATGTCACTGGCGTAGTGTACCATCTGTAGTGATATTTATGTGGTGTGAGATATGTTGTGCACCCTATGTAGTGCAATATGTGTGGTGCCATCTATGTGGTACAATCGGTGTGATGCAACCTATGTGGTGCCACGCGTGGTGCAATCTATGTGGTGCCGCCGATGTGGTGCAACATAATTGGTGCAATCGATTTGATGCATAACCTACGTGGTGCAATCTACGTGTACACTATGTATAGTGTCTATGCGTTGCAATCTACGTGGTGCCATTGCTGGTCGCAATTTCAAACGACGACGACGAACCGCCCCGAAGGCCGCTGGTCTTCACCTCTCGGGGGCCCCAGCAGGGATTCGTCTGCGCAGGATTACCTCGGGGCTCTCATGGGCTCAATGGGGCATCGGGGCCGTCGTCGGCCCATGGTGGCCGCGCGCCCTCGCGGCACCCTGGGGCCACCGTTGGTGCGGGGCGTCTCGGGGCCTCCCTCGATCCTGGGGTGGGGGGGGGGACCTGAGGCCAAACGATGTCGGGGTCTGGCGGTGCCGACGCAGCTGTGACTGCACTGCGTCTGAAACCACATTCCCCAAACACTGCTTGCGCGTATAGGGTTTCTGTTATGTGAGTGGCGTTCTGGCGGCTCCGTGCTCGCCGTCGCCGCCCCGCCGCGGCCCCGTCGCCGCCCGTCGTATGGGCCTGGCTGGCGGCTTGGCGGATGCCTGCTCGCCGTCGCCGCCGCGTCGCCGCCCGTGGTCTGGGCCTGCGCGGCGATCTGGCGGATCCGCGGGGCGAGGGATGCTAAAACGAGGGGGGGTTTTCTCATGGCAGTGCGAGCTGCCATTGGGCGAGATCGCCAAGGAGTTGCGGCCAACTCCGCCAGCAACGCGAGATGTAGGAGCGGCGACTACAATATAATTGCAAAGTGTAAACTGCGATTGCGGCTGAAGTCTAACTGCGATTGTGAGTGGGATTTAATTGCATATTGCAATCTAGCAGCGGTTGCGAATGACATCTAACTGCAATTTGCCGCGGCGCCATGAGACTTAGACTGAGACTATGGGGCTCCGCCGCCCACCTCTGGAAGGGCGGGACGTAGTCCGCTATGATGGGTTGCGGGGCTACCGTGGCCGCCGCGGCTGCCGTTGCCGAAGCTGTCGACGCAGCGACCGTAGCGCGGGCCGCGTGTGTTCCCGCGGCGCGCTCTGCCGTGTGCATCGCGTGCCTGGCGAGTGCGGATGCGCTCTCGGCTGCGGCGTTCTGTTGCATCGTATCGGTTCGCTGGTCATGGTTGCTCCTGCTTGCCGCGGGCGGCATCTGCATGATCAGCGTTCCCCATCCTGCGCCAACCCGATCCTAGCTTTAGATTGCCGAGGCCCTGCGCGCGCCAGTCGAAGGCGGAATCCTTTCTTTGTTGTTTCATCTCCGCCTTCATCTTCTCACGTTCTCTTTCAGCTCTGCATTCCCCCGGACCAACTAGTCGTAAGTCCGTTTCTTGTGTCTATTGGGTGCCTTGGCTGCGGAGACACGGAGGCGGTGGTCGGACGCCCAAACCTGATACCGCCAAGCGCTGAGGTGCGCGAGAAACGCATCGCGGCACGGGCCAACGCGGCGGTGGAAGCACGGGGTGGGAAGGCATCGTCATAGGCACAACCGCCGCCCTCAAGACGGCTTCCAGAAACGCCCCGCCCGAGGCGCCCCCCTGCTTTACAAGGCCCAGCACGGGGGCTCTGACCGTGGTAAATGGCCGATGGGGCCTCCAAGGGTTAACCCTCGGGGCCTCGTGATATCTGGATGTCGGGGCCTTCTGTTGGCATGCTTGCAGCGCGCAAAGTCCATTGGGTCTCAGGGTGCTGTGTCTCAGGACAATTCAGGGCCGCATGGTCACAGGGCCTTGGGTTCCTCGGGGGCTCCAGGGCGTGGCCTCGGGATCTCAGGGTCTGAAAGCTCGCGCGGCCGCATTGGGGCCCCGGGCCTTCGACGACGACGGCGTCGACGACGCGTTTTGGGTGATAGGAGGTGGCCGCATGGGATGCCGCGGGGCCTTGAGGTGTGCATCTTGAAGCCCACGCGGCATTTATAATGCGCGCCCTCGTTGATTCCTCGTTTCCACCTGGGGGTGGGGCCTTCGGTTTAGGGTGAATGGTTTGAGTGTTTGGGTTATGGTGTAGGGCAAGGGCGTTCGGTTTAGGGTTAGGGCGTTAGGGTCACGGTGCCAGCGTTCGGGCGTTAGCCCCAAGACGGCCTATATGGCGACCCGAAGGCAGCCGATGATGTCCCCTAGATGCCCAAGCCATTCCCCGAATCCGCCACATTGCACCTGGCGCAATAAAATCCGCCGCCGCGCCCCCTGGCGCGGACCTATAGCGCGGGCACGAGCGCGCGCGATCGCGCGAGAATTGCGCGCCCGTCCGTCGCGCGCGCGAGCGCGCGCACGCGCGCGCGCAAGTACGCGCGCGCGCACTCGTGCACGACGATCACGCGATCACCCTGCGCGCGCGGCACGCGCGCGCGTGAGCATTCGGGGCGTTTGAGCCAAGGTGGCTATGGCATGCGTGGGGGTGGTGGGGGGGGGGGGGGCGCGGAGGCGTCTCAAGCGAAACGCCCCCCAACGCCACGTTGGACATCGAACGTCTGGCCTCAATTGTTCATATCCCGAGGATCTCCCAATCGAATGCACATCGTTTCATTGCCAGTCATCAGCGACATCCCCAGACTGCGAGGACGCCTCAAGCGACGACGGTGGTTGGGGGGCGGGATGGCGGGATGGAGGGGGGGGGGGATGAGTTTGTAGGATCGGGCCAGCCTCAAAGTAGATGTGCGTATCCCGCCCAGCAAGACCTTCCAAACGTAGACATGACCCTCCCAAATGTAGAAGATATGGCCCTCCCAACAAGCACCGAGACCCTCCTAAAGTATATGTGGCCCTATAGCACCTCCCAACTATGCAAGACACCCCCGGCAAGTAGATCGGGCCCTCCCAACGAGCAGTCCGGGCCCAACCAGCAAGTATATAGGGCCCTCTCAAACGTAGATAGTACATTCCCAAGAATAAATGGCATACCCCCCTCCCCCAAAAATGTATACAGAGCACCCTCCAAAACCTTCCCCCCTCCAGATCTATTTGACTCCAACACCATTCCCCTCCCAAAAATAGATAGGCCCCCGTTGAAAAGTGGACCCTCCAGACAGATAGGACCCCCCCAAATGGATCAAAGTGCAGGCGGACAAGACAACTTGCGTGCATTCCGTATCTGCGCTTGGGGAAAAGCACGAGGGCAGTTCTACATCAACATAGATGGTCCGCCATGGCCGATATTTTTGGGGGCTGCCGCATGTTTTCCAAACTGTGTTTGAGGTTGCATATGTGGCTCTAGGTCGCAACATGGTTTGTTGGTGAAATAACATGTGGTTTTATGTCCAACACGTTGTCACGGTTTTGGTTGTAAATGCGCGTTTATCGATTTCAGAACAACCAGACATATTCCGTTCAATCAACATAATATGGTTTGTCGGCATGATATTATGTTTACCATGGCGAAACCAAGTGTGGGAAACAATGTTAAACTATGTTGGAACAACTTAACAGAATTGGTCGCGGCGTGTTTGTGGTCAGTCCATGCAAACACTTAGCAAGTACTTGCGAAGTGCAACTTGATCTGAAGTTCAGTACTTGCAACCACATGCAAGTACTTAGCTTGGGCGCCTAGAAAAGAGATCCATCCACTTGCAAGTTCTGCGACCAGTCATGGCATTTCGCAAGTTTGGCCGAGAGATAGCATGTGGGTCGCAACGCATTAAGTATTTGTACACCACTACGAACTGGGTTGCATACCACAACGAAGTAGGTTGCACACCACAGCGAACTGGATTGGTTCCACAATGTGCAGTTACTCTCTTCTGGCAACCCCAGAGCTCAGCCAAGTGCCGCGAGCTGGCGCGCTTGGACCCACTAGCGGCCACACGTGAGAGGCATTTGCCAGCTGCCGCTGCGGCTGGGCGGCCGTGGCCGCCCAGCTCGCCGACGCTGCGTGGGCGGCGTCGCGGGCGCAGAGCCTCGCCGGCGCGCAGAGCCAGACGGGCCTGCAGGCGCTGCTTGACTTGGAGGCTTCCGCCCCGCCGCTCGCCGCGGCTTGCTGGGACGCCCTGGCGGCGCTACCGGCCTGGCGGGCCGCGGGCGCCGACCGCGCGCAGCCGCTGCCGCCCTGGCAGGAGCTCGCCCAACAATCCTTGGAGAAGGCCCAGAAGATGCTCGCGCGAAGGGTTGGCCCAACAAAAATACGAAGCCTTACTGAGCGACTTGGGCTCCTGGGAGGCGCGGGCGCTGCTCCGCTCTTGCGGTGGGCCGCGCGCGGCGGGTTGGCAAGTGGCCACTGGCGGCCACGGGCAGCGCCTGAGCAACGAGGACTGGTGCGCCACGGCGAGAGCGCTTCTCGGCCAAGACAGCGCGCCGCCGGGGAGCCGCTGCCAGAACGGGACCCGCGCGGGGTCACTCGCTGGGCAGCTCTGCAACGAGCCCCTCTGCGGCCGCGCGGAGCACGCCTACCGCTGCGCCTGCGGGGGCGGCTTCAAGGCGCGCAGCCGCGACCTCGAAGATGCGTGGGAACGCATTCGCCAGGAGTGCGGGTTCCACGCTGAGAGGCAGGTGCACGTCCCGGCCTGGCGGCGCTGCGCCGACGCGGGCTGCGACGTGCGCGGCTGGGCCATCGCCCCGCCGGCAGGGCCCTGCGCGGCGCGAAGAGGGCATCCTTGATTTCGAGGCCCAGCGCCCGGGGTGCCCTCGGCTCTTCGCCGACATGCGGCACGGCGTGCTGGGCGAGGAGCGCGCGCTGGGCGCCGCGGCAGCGCGCGACGGCGCAGTGAACGGGGACGCCGAGGGCGACAAGCGCCGGCGTTACCCGGAAGGCCAGGCCCCCTGGCTGGTCTTCCCTGCGCTGGAAGCGGTGGGCCGGCACGGGCAGGCAGCGCTTCGCCACTTGCGGGAGCTGGCGCGCGACCGGGCGCAGCAGTTCGGCGACGACACAGCCGCCGAGGCCGCGGCGGGGGCGCTCGCCCAGCGCTGGGGCGCCGAGCTAAGAGTCGCGCTCCACGCCGCGACGGCGCGCCATGCGCAGCGCGCTCGGCCAGGAGCGCGCGCGCGCGGCCGGCGCCGCGCTGGCCGAGGAGCTCGCCGGCTAGCTGGCGCTGCCGGATTGTTTTATGGCCGACGCTGGATCTGGGCGGGGAGGGCGTCTACCGGGTCGTCGCGCGAGAAGGAGGAGGAGGGGGAGGAGGAGGAGGAGGAGGAGGAGGAGGAGGAGGAGGAGGAGGCGGAGGAGGAGGAGGAGGAGGAGGAGGAGGAGGAAGAAATAGAAGAAAGAGGAGGAGGAGGAGGAGAGGAGAAGGAAGAAAAGAAAAGAATAAGAAGAAAGAGGAGGAGAGGAGGAGGAGAGGAGGGAGAGGAGGAGGAGGAGGTAGAAGGAGGAGGAGGAGGAGAAGAGGAGGTGAGAAGGAGGAGAGGAGGAGGAGGAGGAGGAGGAGAGGAGGAGGAGGAGGAGGAGGAGAGGAGGAGGAAGGAGGAGGAGGAGGAGGAGGAGAGGAGGAGGAGGAGGACGAGGTGGAGGAGGAGGAGGAGGAGGAGGAGGAGGAGGAGAGGAGGAGGAGAGAGGAGGAGGAGGAGGGAGGAGGAGAGGAGGAGGGAGGAGGAGGAGGAGAGGAGGAGGAGGAGGAGGTGAGGAAGAGAGAGGGAGGAGGATGAGGATTTCCCCCCCCGCTCGCCTCCGAGCCAGGCCGCACGCCGCCCCCGCCGCAGAGAAGTGGCGGGCCGCCCCTCTCTCCGAGAGGGCGCCCTTCCTCGCCCTGTGCCCCCTCCGCCGCTCTGGGCGCGCGTTCCGCCGGCCGCCCCCCCCCCCCCCCCCCCCCCGCGCGCCTGCGCCCCCCGCCCCGCGGGGGCTGGGTGCGCCAAGGTCCTCTACGGGGCCCGCGGTGAATCCCTTCGCTCCGAAGGAGAGCCCCGCCCCGCTGGACCATACTTGGGTCGGGCGCGTCCCTCTTACAGGAGGAGTGCTCAAACATAAGAAACATAAACTGGGGTCGATTGTTGTGGTCTGTTTGATAATTTCGGGGGTAGTTTGGGCAATGTTTATTTTCTCGTCCAGATTCCGCTTGTGGGGGGACATGCCCGACCTATGACTACACGTAAGAGTGACCCTTCGCCAGAGTGACTTTTGGTGCGGGTTCAACGGGGCCCCTCGATAGAACTTGGTGCGATAGTAGCGTCTTGCGCGCTCGTGCTTGGTCCCCAGGCGGCCCCCCAAACGCCACGCACCAAAGGTCACTCCTACCAAGGGTCACTCTTGCGTGTAGCCGATCCTCGTCGGCGCCGAGGTTGTCCTGCCTCGGGGGAGGAAGAAACCCAGACGGGATCGCGTCGTGAACAGACAACGGGACGCGGGAGGCTTTTGGCCAGGCTCGGCCTCGGGGAGCCCTCGCCGGGCCTCGGGGCCGTCAGACAGCGATTCTGGATGAAACACCGGTCCTGTGGAAAGGGTCGGGACCTCCAGGGACCCCGGTATTCGAGAAATCAGGACGTCGCAGGTCGGGGAGGGTGCCAACGCCGCTGCCCCTCGCCCACGTTCCCCTGTTTCGGCCTCCTGGGAGGCCCTCGGGGCCACCGCTGGACTTCTGGTCCGAGCTCGGCCCGGGAGAGGTCCGGGGGGCAGCAGTAGTCATCGGTATTTGTTTGGCTTGCCCACTGCCGGGCGGGGCGTGGACCGAGAGATGCATCGTTCCAGGGCGTTCCGCGACGCTCGCAGAGCGTGCTGGAGCGCTCCGGAAGGGCCGCGGCTCCAGCGGCAGCCTCCAGAGAGCCGCTGGCTCTCAGAGGCCCCCGATCTCTCCTGGTTCGGTGTTGTCTTGGTCCCTGTTTCACCTCCTCCCCTCCCCTCCCTTCCCCTTCCTTTCGAGCAGTGGCGAAGCGTCCTGGCTCGCCTATAGGCCCACCCGAGTATGTTATAAGAACCTTTTGTGGTCTGCACGACAGGTTCTTAGAACATTTCTGGCTGAGACTGCTTCGTTTTAACCCATCGGGTTTAAGTTCTAAGAGCATTGCAGACTTTCGGGTTCAAAGAACTTTTCGTGGTAGGCCTGTCGGATTACCGGGACGATCGGTCCCTGCTCAATCTTTCCCGCCCCCCCTTCCACGAGCTTGCACTGCACATTATCCGCCGCGCTGCCCCGCGCGCGGTTGTCTCTGCCCGCTCGCTACGGCGTGCGGCTGTGCGTTCGCTCGTCCGATTTTGGTCTTGGCCCAGGCGTCGGCTTAACGAGTATACTGGCGGAGCGGCGCGAGTAGGCACGCGCTCTGGACTCCGAGGCGCGATCTCCCGAGGACGCGCGGTTGCACGGGCGCGTTCCGCGCGAGGCATCCGCGAAAACACGCCCCGTGACCGCGTGGTCGCGGTCCAGGGGCCCGACCCGCGAGTCCGCGGATGAAGAATATATGTAAAATGCCCGTGACCGCGGAGTCGCGGCCCAGGTGGCCGGGCCCGCGAGGCCGCAGATGCAGATCGTCATGCTTCTCCCCCCCCGATCTGTTCAAGCGGCTTGCGACGATCGTGGAAGTCATCCGGTGGCCCTCGCCCCGGGCTTGCGGGTCAGAAGCCTCGTGCACATGAATCTGCGACATGCTTTCCTCGCCCACGAGAACCCGCCCGACACATTCTGGTCCGATTCTGTCTGGGCCCCAGTTTTGGCCCTCTCCCGGCGCATGGGCGCGGGCACGCGGCCGCGCCGGCGCGGCCGCGCGGTGGCGCGCGAGCGTGCGGTCGGAGGCTTCTGTGGGCGGTCCAGGCCGCCCGTCGAGGGAGGTGCGGGGGTGCGGTGCGATCGAGCTGGGCACGGAACGAGTGGGCACGCAAGCCGACAAGCCCTTGCCCATGGTGAACATCGAATAACCACAAGCAAAAACGAATATCAACTTTTGGCGCTCCGCGCGGAATCCCTGGATCGGCGCTTGGTCCTCCCCTTGGCGGCGCCTCCAGCGCCGCCCTCCGCGCGCTCCGCGCGCCTGGGAGGGGGGTCCAGCTCAGATTCAAGAAGTCGGCGCAGATTGTCAAAAGTTCACAGTGGAGACCCGTGCCAAGAAACACCCTGGTTGCCTCCAGGGTGCACTGTGTTTCTTGGGCTTCAGTGGTTTAGCTATGGAGCACGCGACGTTCCCATACCAAAAATCAATGGACTTCCTGGGGTCTCAGGGTCGGGTTTCTTGTGGGAGGTTTCTTGTGGTCGAGCCCCTGCTGTACCGTCCCACCTCAGCCAGTGTTGCGCAGGAGCGCTCGGATCACCGCCGTCGCTGCCCCGAGGGGCCGCTCGACAGCGCGAGCGGAGGTCCTCGCGCTTCGCCCGCGGCGTGGGGCCTGGCACGGGGCGACCATGGGGCAGTGCTACAGAGGGGGCCAATGCCAAGAAACACCCCGCTTGCCTCCAGGGTGCCCCGGGTTTCTTGGGTTTCGATAGTTTTGCGATGGGAAGCGTGACGTTCCAAAATCAAAAATGCGATGGACGTCCTGGGGCCTTAGGGTTGGGGTTTCTTGTGGAAGGTTTCTTGTGGACTGGCCTCGACTGTACCGACGAAAGTCTTCATGGTAATACTCTGCGGGTACGGTATGTTCGTGTCGTGTCGACCGGCGGCGACCCCGCCGCCAGCTTTCAACGTTGAACGCCGCCAGAGATCCAGAATCGGTCGACGTCGAACGATCCGACGTTTCGGACACGGCCGATCCTGGGTTACAGGACACGAACTTGCCGTAAAGTGTTCGCCTCGAGGGCACAGAGACCCGCCTGCCCTCTTGCACTTCTCGTCCTCCGTATTCCTCATCCTATGCTCTCTGTTATTTTCTCCCCCTTTCTCCCCGGGAGGTCGTCTTCAAACACTTGCTTTTAGAATCGCCCGTGAGGTACACACATCACACATTACCTGGTGGTAAGTATTTTGATCAAGGGTCGCAGCGAAAATCCGCGTTCATCCTCGCAGCTTTCGTCTGCATCGTCGAGCCCATCCTTTTTGTTGTCGTCGTCGTCGTCGGCGTCGTCCTTTCCTCCCTCCTCCCTCCTTCCTCGCGTAGGCATCCTTCACGTTCGAATCTACATAGTAGCAGTAGTCACACACCAGCAAATTTAACGCGTTTTTTCGAAACTGGGTTTGACCGAGCAATTGAGGTTTCTCGAGTCGAGCCGCAGATGGTAGAGCGAGGGTCAATTCGGGGCTCTCCCATGGGGGGAAACGTTTGCATATTTGCACATGTGCGCGCACTGCAGGTCGCACATATCGTATGTTTCATCTGATGTGTGTAGGAGTCGATCTCATTTCGACCCGTGGCCCGACGCAGGTCCAGTCTAGTCCAGTCCTCCTGCTCCTCCTCCTCCTCTTCCTCTCCACATCATCTTGTTCCGTAGCCAGTTTGGCTCAAGCCTCAGCGGCATGAGACCCAGAGCTGTTTCCCGGCATGCAGCACAGCGGCCAACGATGCGTGCGTTGCCACCAGTACCGGCCGTATGGCCACCGGGACCCGATCAACCACGGTTGGTGGTATTGCGAAGATTGCTGGATGAGCTCGACGGGTGCCAACCGCATGTGCAATTACTGTAGGAGGCGGGATTCCTGCGACCGCGGCAACGTCAACCCCACCGACCAGTTCTGGTATTGCCACCCCTGCTGGAGGGGCGGCGTGGCGGGGCCGCGGGATCCGTGGGCGGCGGGTCCACGGGATCCGTGGGGGCCCTATCCCGTCGCTGGCCCGCACCCCCCTCTCCCGGTCCCGAGCCACGGCGCGGGGCGGAGGAGGCACGACGAGGACGAGTACTCCTCCGACCGGGAGGGTGCGGGGAGGAAGAAGGTCAAGCGGGCGCCGACCAAGAGGAAGAAGGACGAGGCGGTAGAGAAGAACAGGGAGGTCGCAAAGGCGACGACCGAGCCCACGACGCTCATGCTGCGGAACTTGCCTCGGACCATGACCCGCGACATGCTGTTCGAGCTGCTGCGCGACCAGGGTCTGGGCGACCGCCTCGACTTTCTCTACGTGCCGACGAACTTCGCGGGGGATGAGAACTTCGGCTATGGCTTCGTCAACCTGGTCACTTTCGAGGACGCCGAGAAGTGCCGGTCGCAGCTGCAGGATTTTGGGGACTGGCCGACGCCCTGGGACCAGACCTGCACCGTTCTGAGCGGGGACGCGTGCCAGGGGCTCGAGGCGCTCGTGCTGCGGTACCAGAACAGCCCGGTCATGCACGAGAGCAACCCCGACGCCCACAAGCCCGCCATATACAAGGACGGCGTGCGGCAGGATTTCCCGCCGCCGACGCGGCCACTGAAGAAGCCCCGCTCCAGGCAGAGGAAGCCCAAGGCAGTCGGGGGCGCGGAGGTGGCGGGGGCGGAGGCGGAGGGGGCTGACGAGCAGTCCGAGCCCGCGGAGTGAGCCTGCCCTCTTCCACGGGGGGGGGAGCGGCCGTGCAGCTCGAGCTGCTGTGCCCCGCCCTGGCGCGGCACGGGGGTGCGGGGCACGGGGTACGGAGAAGAGCAGGGCCATGCCCTCTCCCGAGGCGCGGCTTCGTGCCCGGCCACAGCCCGGGGGGGTCGATCTTCTGGGCTTTCGGCCTGCGGTGGACATGGACATGTTCGGGCCCGTGGGGCGGGCCCCATGCACACAGCTCCACCGCCCGCCGAGAAGTCCCTGGAGGGTGGATCTCCCCCGGGCGGTGGTTACGGAGGAGTCCCCGCCTCGCATCGCAATCCGTCTCCGCAGGATATCGTTTTGGAGACTTCTCTCTGGGGTCCACCTGCCATATATGTTCGGCTCTTGTTCGAGCCTCGCTCGACTCTAGTTCGGCTCGGCTTCAGCTCGACTCAATCGGGGGCCCCCAAACGGGGTGGTGACCACACCGTGTGGTGAGTCGGTGGAGATTCGGGGTCACCGCACGGTTTTGGGACTCGGGTCGTTCTCCGAGGACGTCTCGGTCGATTGGGGCATCCGAGGTCCCAAGGCCGTGCGTTGACGGACCGTGCGGTGTGGTCTTGGGGGATTTCGAGGTCACCGCACGGTCCGTCACCGCACCGTTTCGGGACTCCAAACTCAAGTCGGGAAGTCGGGGGGACGGCCTCAGGGGGGATGCATCGACCCCGAATCGCCCACCGATCGCCGACGGGTGCTCGATCGCCCACCCCACACAGGGGACTGTCTGGATTCGATGTCGGAGGCCTACCGCCGATGACAGGTCGATGTTCCCCACCCCCTGAGTTCTCCTCCTCCTCCTTCTCCTCCTCATCTTCCTCCTCCTCCGCCTCCTCTTCCTCCTGCTCCTCCTGCTCCTCCTCCTCCCTCCCCCCCCCCCCTGGCCTCCTCCTCCTCTCCTCCCTCCTCCCTCCTCCTCCCCCCCCCCCTCCTCCTCCTCTCCTCCTTCCTCCTCCTCCTCCTCCTCCTCCTCCTCCTCCTCCTCCCTCTCCTCCTCTCCTCCTCTCCTCCTCCTCCCTCCTCCTCCCTCCTCCTCCTCCTCCTCCTCCCTCCTCCTCCTCCTCCTCCTCCTCCTCGTCCTCCTCTCTCCTCCTCCTCCTCCTCCTCTCCCTCCTCCTCCTCCTCCTCCTCCCCCCCCGCTCCTCCTCCTCGTCCTCCTCCTCCTCCTCCTCCTCCTCATCCTCCTCCGCCGCTTCCTCCTCCTCCTCCTCCTCCTCCTCCTCCTCCTCCTCCTCCTCCTCCCATCCTCCTCGTCCTCCTCCTCGTCCTCCTCCTCCTCCGCCTCCTCCTCCTCCTCCGCCTCCTCCTTCTCCTCCGCCTCCTCCTCCTCCTTCTCCTCCTCCCCCCTGTCGTGCCTTCTCGTCCCCTCCCTGGCCCCTCACATCATCCTGCGCCTGCCGGCGACTGCTGTGGGCCAACCGGGCCTCCAAAGGCAGGCACGAGGAGGAGACGTAAGTACAAGGGATGGAGCAATGCGGAGAAGGAGAGGGAGCGAAGAGGACGAGGCGGTGGATGAGGGTGGGAATTGGGCGGGAAGGGGGGAGAAGGGGGGAATGTCGACGGAGCGTTCGAAGGGAATACGAGGTACGATGGCAGGAGGATGAGGGGGAGGGGGGGGAGGAGAAGGAGGAGGAGGACGAGGAGGAGGATGAGGAGGAGAAAGAGGGGGAGGAGGGGGAGTGTGGGGAGCGTGGGGATGAAGGTCGTGGGCGGAGGGTCGACCTGCCTGGCTTGTGAAGACAAATCCTCACATCCAGAACTGTGTCCTGGGATATGTTTCTCACTGAGACATTGCGCTTCTCCAGACAGCATTCCCACGATGGTCGATTCGATTGGTTTCTGGGGCGGTTCGATGTGATCTGTCTAGTGGCCTCGTACCGTCGCATCATATTGCAAGGATGCAGTGCCTGAACACATGTGCTGGCACCCTTGTTCTTTCGGCCCTATCCTTGGCCACAGATCGTAGAGTTGCTGGCCCTGTGCCGCCACACATATTTCTGGGTTCACCTCTGGGGGCCTTGCATCCTCACGATGTGCCATTTTGACGGGTTCCAATTGCAGAACATGCTTATTTTTGATAGCCCTACGGCCGGTGCCGCCGACCCGGAAGGGGGACGACGACGACGACGACGACGACGACGACGACGACGACGACGACGACGACGACGATGACGCGACGACGACGCCGATGACGACGACGACGACGACGCCGACGACGACGACGCCGACAGGGTCGGTGGACTTCTGAGTCGCACATTCGAGGGTGGGCGGCATCGCGCGGGCTCGCAGCCCGCGCGCGTCTGACAGGCTCGGGGTGCGGCGCCGCTCCGCGTCTGTCCGTCGGCCGGGGCTGCGGGCCGGCCGAGGGCCGCCGGGGGGGGGGGGGGGGGCGGCGCAGCGGCGGAGGGAGGCGTGATGACGAGGGCGCTCCAGAGCAGGTCCGGGGGTCGGTCTTGATGATGATGATGAGGAGGAGGAGGAGGACCTGAGGAGGAGGAGGAGGAGGAGGAGGAGGAGGAGGAGGACCTGAGGAGGAGGAGGAGGAGGAGGAGGTGGAGGAAGAGGAGGAGGAGGAGGAGGAGGAGGAGGAGGGATGGGGAGGGTGGAATGGGATGAAGATGAGGATGAGGATGAGGATGAGGATTGGGATGCTGGGGATGGTCCTGATCGTGATCATGAGTGGTGGTGGCGATACTGATGGGGAGGACGAGAATGATGATTCTGGTGATGATGTCGACGATGATGCGGAGGAGGCAGGATCGGGAACAAGAAAAGAGGGCAGCCGGCGCACAACGCCAACGCCCGGCGAGGGCTTCGGCGCCCCCGTGGCGCAGCCGAAGAACCCGCATGCGCCCCGTGCTTTCGGAGGCCCGGCCGTCGCGATGATCCTGTTCTCTCGCTTTAAGTCGGGCGTGTCCCTCTACAGGAGGAATATCCAAAAATAGTTTAAGACAAAAGTCTGGGGACGATTGTTTGACAAGTTGTTTACCTTCTTGGGGTATTATTTTGACTATTTTTATTTTTCGTCCCAAATCCGCCTGTAGGAGGACGTGCCTGAGCTCACTCTCGTTGCCACGGGTGGCAGCACGCTGCCGTTAACTGCTCCAGCAGTGTCGTTCCGACGATTCTGGCCCACCACGCTTCGGCGCGACACGCTATCCATTTCGGGTCCCCAGGCGTCAGCGTCCCGAGGCTTTCCGAGCCTCCCGCCCCGGAGCGGAGCGACACGTTATCCGTTCGCAAGGCATAGCGTGTCGCCGGGGCCTCCGTGGCGACACGCTATCCAAAAGCTTCCCACCGTAATTGCCCCAGCAAAGCATTCGAGCACCCGGGAAACGTGAGACTCGAGTTATCTGGAGCTCGGGTTTGCCTGATTGCCTTTCGTTGGCGGGCCCGTCCTGAGTCTTGACAGTCCAGCTTTCACGGGATGATTGCAGCGGGAGGTCGCGTCAAATCTCAGACTGGGTCTCTGACGGCCCCGTCAGGCCAACCCGAGTCTGAAGTCGGGCGTGTCCCTCTACAGGGGAATCTTCAAACATAGTCCAACATAGTCTGGGGAGGTTTTTTCCAACCATCCTGTGTTGGGTGGATCCTCGTTTTGAAGAGACAGGGCCCCGCGTCTCACTCATCCTTGTCTCATCCCTCCTCCTCCTCTCCCTCCTCCTTCCCCCTCCTCTCTCCTCTCGTCACCCTCAAATTGGCGCACCCCTCACACGGTTCGTGGCCTCATACGGAGCTCCACCTAAGGTCCCAGTGGTGCAGTTCGCATGGCGGCGCCGCCCCATTTTGGCGCACACGGTTCGTGGCCCCATAGGGAGCTCCACCTAAGGTCTCCAGTGGTGCAGTTCGCATGGCAGCGCCGCCCCATTTTGGCACACCCCTCACACGTTTCGTGGCCCCATAGGGAGCTCCACTATAAGGTCCCCAGTGGTGCAGTTCGCATGGCGGCGCCGCCCCATTTTGGCGCACCCCTCACACGTTTCGTGGCACCATAGGGAGTTCCATCTAAGGTCCCAGTGGTGCAGTTTCCATGGCGGCGCCGCCTCAGCTTGGCACACCCTCACACGTTCCGTGGCCCCATAGGGAGCTCCATCTAAGGTCCCAGTGGCGCAGCTCGCATGGCGGCGCCGCCCCATTCTGGCACTCCTCTCACACGTTTCGTGGCGCCATAGGGAGCTTCACCTAAGGTCCCAGTGGCGCAGTTTGCATGGCGGCGCAGTCCCCTTTCGTCACACCCCTCGCACGTTTCGTGGGCACATCTTGGGAGCTCCACCTACGGTCCCAGTGGCAAGCTGCGCATGGCGGCGCCGCCTCAGTTTGGCACTCCTCTCACACGCTTTGTGGCCCCATACGGAGCTCCACCTAAGGTCCCAGTGGTGCAGTTCGCATGGCGGCGCCGCCCCATTTCGGCCCCCCCCCCTCACACGTTTCGTGGCCCCATAGGGAGCTCCACCGAAGGCGCCAGTGCCACCGCCCGCCTGCGTCACCCACACCCATGTCGTCACACCCCTCCCACGTTTCGTGGCCGTCGTGGCCCCATAAGGAGCTCCAGCGAAGGCCCCGGTGCCACCGCCCGAATGCGTCACCCACGCACATTCCGACACACCCCTCACGTGTTTCGTGGCCCCATAGAGAGCTCCACCGACGGCGCCAGTGGCTGCGTTCACATGCGCCCATCGCACCCATTTCGGCACACCCATCACCTTTCGCGGCCCCATAGAGAGCTCCACCGACGGACCCAGTGGCTGCGTTCGCATGCGCCCACCGCACCTATTTTGGCACACCTCTCACGCGTTTCGTGGCCCCACAAGGAATTCTACCGACGGCCCCAATGGCTGCTTTCGCCTGCTCCCACCGGACAACTTTTGGCACACCCCTCACACGCTTCGTGGCCCTAAAAGGGAGCGCCTCCGAATGCGGAGCACACAACGACAGCATTCACAACTGCATATGGTTGGGTCCTTCGCCAGGCTATTTTTTTGATTTGTTGAAGTTTGTTTCTACTGTTGTTCGTCCAAAATCCCCCTGTTGGAGGACATACCCGACCTAACCCGAGTCCCCCGAACCTGGGTCGTACGTCCTCTTGGTGGCAGCAGCAGAGGTGAAGAGGCGGGCCGAGTAGAGGGGGGGAGAGCACGGCCATGTGCACCGCTGCAGCGGCATGTGGGCGAGAGCAAGGAAGAATCGGGTACAGCCAGGACCCCTGTTGAGGGGAGCCAGTTAGTGATTGGGCCCCGAGGCCCAAATTATGGATTGCAATCAATACGCCCGGTCTGCCGCAGCTGGTGCTTTTCGGGTGACGGCAGTTCGGGCTAGTGGAACGGGACAGGGGGGGGCGCTCCCGGCACGGATCACGAAACCTGGTCCCACGAAACCCAGTCTTGCCATCGCCCGAAAGAAGGAAGTCTCCGGCGAAACGGCTGCCAGACCGGGCGTCCCCCCTTTGTGGGATTCTCCTGCTGTGACTATGCACCGCTGTGAGAGGCCTCTGGCGAGGTCCGATTCGGGGAAGAGGTGCCGATGCCTGTGCTCCCTGGACCTCTCACGGGGTGGGTTCTGAGACCAGAACTTCGGGCAGAATCCAACCCTGGCGGCACGGGTTCTCTGGGACGGCGCGTAGGGCCGTGCAGAAGGAACCCGTGTGAAGACAACCCCGCAGAGGTCTGCGCGGAGTTGCTGGGTCGGCGCACTGGACCTCCCCGCGCCCCTTCCCCCGCGGCTTGCCTCGTGCTTTCGGAGGCCCGGCCATCGCTGTCGTCCTGATCTCTCGTCGGATGTTGCCAGAAGAGCCCCTGGCCCAAAGGTGCTCCCAGGAGTTCCAAGTAGGCCTCCACGGCCTCCAGAGCACCCCTCACGAGGTCCAGAGGGCCCCAGGGGCTCCCGAAGTGAGCGAAAAGCTGGGCTCCTTTAGCAACCCCCGATCTCGCTGCCACGATGGCAGCACTCTGCCGATACCTCGAATGCCGAGAGTCTGTATAAGAATCAACCCGCGGAGGTCTCCGCGGATGTCTTTGGTCAGGGCTGGACCCCCCCCCCCTTCTCTACGCCCCTTCCCCCGCAGCTCCTGCGCCGCTCCTGGCGCGCGCCACGCGCCAGGGAAGGGGTGTGTGGAGTACGGTGGGGGCGTTCGTTAGGCAATGTGCCCATCCAGACCCTAGAGGATTCCTTGTCTGATGAGGGCGGCGTTGATACCCATGGCCAAGCTTCGTTTGGAGTTTCACCGGCCTCCGGACCCTGGATTCGTTATATAAGGGTGCTTGTTCGTATCTAATCCCCCCACCGTGTCGCCCAGTGCCGACACAAGAAATCCGTGCGGACCGGGGAACATTTCTGTTTTTCCCCAACCATCCTGTGGTGTTGGGTCCTCGTTTTGAAGAAACGGTCCCCGCGTTCTCCCCTCCTCCTCTGCCCCCTCCTCCTCTCCACCGCCCGCATGCGTCACGCACACCCAGTACAGCGTTTCGTGGCCCCATAGGGAGCCCCACCGAAGGCCCCAGTGCTGCCGCCCGCATGCGTCACGCACACCCAATTCGGCACACCCCTCACACGTTTCGTGGCCCCATAGGGAGCCCCACCGAAGGCCCCAGTGCTGCCGCCCGCATGCGTCCGCACACCCAATTCGGCACACCCCTCACACGTTTCGTGGCCCCATAGGGAGCCCCACCGAAGGCCCCAGTGCTGCCGCCGCATGCGTCCCGCACACCCATTCGGCACACCCCTCACACGTTTCGTGGCCCCATAGGGAGCCCCACCGAAGGCCCCAGTGCTGCCGCCCGCATGCGTCACGCACACCCAATTCGGCACACCCCTCACACGTTTCGTGGCCCCATAGGGAGCCCCACCGAAGGCCCCAGTGCTGCCGCCCGCATGCGTCACGCACACCCAATTCGGCACACCCCTCACACGTTTCGTGGCCCCATAGGGAGCCCCACCGGAGGCCCCAGTGCTGCCGCCCGCATGCGTCTCGCACACCCAATTCGGCACACCGCTCACACGTTTCGTGGCCCCATAGGAAGCTCCACCGAAGGCCCCAGTGTTGCCGCCCGCTTGCGTCACGCACACCCAATTCGGCACACCCCTCACACGCGTCGTGGCCCCATAGGGATCCCCACCGAAGGCCCCAGTGCTGCCGCCCGCATGCGTCACGCACACCCAATTCGGCACAACCCTCACACGCTTCGTGGCCCCATAGGTAGCCCCACCGAAGGCCACAGTGCTGCCGCCCGCATCCGTCACGCACACCCCATTCGGCACACTTCTCACACGTTTCGTGGCCCCATAGGGAGCCCCACCGAAGGTCCCAGTGCTGCCGCCCGCATGCGTCACGCACACCCAATTCGGCACACCCCTCACACGTTTCGTGGCCCCATAGGGAGCCCCACCGAAGGCCCCAGTGCTGCCGCCCGCATGCGTCACGCACACCCAATTCGGCACACCCCTCACACGTTTCGTGGCCCCATAGGGAGCCCCACCGAAGGCCCCAGTGCTGCCGCCCGCATGCGTCACCCACACCCAATTCGGCACACCCCTCACACGTTTCGTGGCCCCATAGGGAGCCCCACCCCGAAGGCCCCCATGCATGCGTCCCGCACACCCAATTCGGCACACCCCTCACACGTTTCGTGGCCCCATAGGGAGCCCACCGAAGGCCCCAGTGCTGCCGCCCGCATGCGTCCCGCACACCCAATTCGGCACACCCCTCACACGTTTCGTGGCCCCATAGGGAGCTCCACCGAAGGCCCCAGTGCTGCCGCCCGCATGCGTCCCGCACACCCAATTCGGCACACCCCTCACACGTTTCGTGGCCCCATAGGGAGCTCCACCGAAGGCCCCAGTGCTGCCGCCGCATGCGTCCCCACACCCAATTC